AACGCTTCATTAAAACCACCGTGATGACCTCATATGAAGGGAATCTAATGTCTTGTCTCTCTGCTCACGCCCACAGAGCGGCCGGTGACGCCAGAGTCGCCCGTGGCCAGCCTGGGCCAGCCCACGGGCGTGGGCGGCCGGGCCTCGCCCACTCACATCACTGCCGTCTGCGACACCCTCGGTAAGTGTGAGACTTGGCCCGCTCAATCACTCTTCATCCATGGCATCGGAGCTGCTCTCTCTCTCCTCCTTCCTCGGTTCAGACATGACTGCCAGACGTTCCCCGGGTGTAATGTTCTGTCATCTCTGCGGGTTCAGCCCTTGTATAATAACAATAATAATAATGATAATAATAATAATAATAATAATAAAAGAGGAAGAACAAGAAGAAATTAGTAATAATAATAATAATAATAATAATAATAATAATAATAATAATAATAATAATAATAATAATAATAATAATAATAATAATAATAATAATTATTATTATTATTATTATTATTATTATTATTATTATAATAATAATATATTAATAATAATAATAATATAATAATAATAATAATAATAATAATAATAATAATAATAATAATAAATAATAATAATAAGAGGAAGAAGAAGAAATTAGTAATAATAATAATAATTATAATAATAATAATTAATAATAATAATAATAATTATAATAACTGGAGTTATCAATAACAATAATCATTATAAAAACAGTATGAATAATAACCATAATAACGCAATTTTAGAATATAATAGTAATCAAAATTATAATACAATAGGAGAGAAAATAATAATGTAATTAAAATGATGGTAATGTAATAATGTGATAAAAATGATAAACGATAATTAGTGCTCGTGAAGCATTATTACATTCGTGGAGGAAACGTTAAACCCGTAGGGGTCGCACGCACACCTCCAGGGCCAGTGGGAGGCAAGCAAGTTAGTCACAGGGAGGGACGGGTCCACTTCCTTGGATCAAGAGCCCATCACCTGCATCAAGACTGGTTCTTGACTGGGAATTCGCGAAGGAGACACTCAAGAGTGAGAGCAGAGTGACAGCATGATAGACGCCAGAGTGACAGCATGATAGACGCCAGAGTGACAGCATGATAGACGCCAGAGTGACAGCATGATAGACGCCAGAGTGACAGCATGATAGACGCCAGAGTGACAGCATGATAGACGCCAGAGTGACAGCATGATAGACGCCAGAGTGACAGCATGATAGACGCCAGAGTGACAGCATGATAGACGCCAGAGTGACAGCATGATAGACGCCAGAGTGACAGCATGATAGACGCCAGAGTGACAGCATGATAGACGCTAGAGTGACAGCATGATAGACGCCAGAGTGACACCATGATAGACACTAGAGTGACAGCATGATAGACACCAGAGTGACAGCATGATAGACACTAGAGTGGCAGCATGATAAACACCAGAGTGACAGCATGATAGACACTAGAGTGACAGCATGATAGACACCAGAGTGACAGCATGATAGACGCTAGAGTGACAGCATGATAAACACCAGAGTGACAGCATGATAGACGCCAGAGTGACAGCATGATAGACGCCAGAGTGACAGCATGATAGACGCCAGAGTGACAGCATGATAGACGCCAGAGTGACAGCATGATAGACGCCAGAGTGACAGCATGATAGACGCCAGAGTGACAGCATGATAGACGCTAGAGTGACAGCATGATAGACGCCAGAGTGACACCATGATAGACACTAGAGTGACAGCATGATAGACACCAGAGTGACAGCATGATAGACACTAGAGTGGCAGCATGATAAACACCAGAGTGACAGCATGATAGACACTAGAGTGACAGCATGATAGACACCAGAGTGACAGCATGATAGACGCTAGAGTGACAGCATGATAAACACCAGAGTGACAGCATGATAGACGCCAGAGTGACAGCATGATAGACGCCAGAGTGACAGCATGATAGACGCCAGAGTGACAGCATGATAGACACTAGAGTGACAGCATGATAGACACTAGAGTGACAGCATGATAGACACCAGAGTGACAGCATGATAGACGCCACAGTGACAGCATGATAGACGCAAGAGTGACAGCATGATAGACGCCAGAGTGACAGCATGATAGACACTAGAGTGACAATATGATAGACACCAGAGTGACAGCATAATAGACACTAGAGTGACAGCATGATAGACACCAGAGTGACAGCATGATAGACGCCAGAGTGACAGCATGATAGACGCTAGAGTGACAGCATGATAGACACCAGAGTGACAGCATGATAGACGCCAGAGTAACAGCATGATAGACACTAGAGTGACAGCATGATAGACGCTAGAGTGACAGCATGATAGACACCAGAGTGACAGCATGATAGACTCCAGAGTGACAGCATGATAGACGCCAGAGTGAAAGCATGATCGACGCCAGAGTAACAGCATGATAGACGCCAGAGTGACAGCATGATAGACACCAGAGTGACAGCATGATAGACGCCAGAGTGACAGCATGATAGACACCAGAGTGACAGCATGATACACACCAGAGTGACAGCATGATAGACGCCAGAGTGACGGCATGATAGACGACAGAGTGACAGCATGATAGACGCCAGAGTGACAGCATGATAGACGTCAGAGTGACGGCATGATAGACACCAGAGTGACAGCATGATAGACGTCAGAGTGACGGCAGGATAGACACTAGAGTGACAGCATGATAGACGCTAGAGTAACAGCATGATAGACACCACAGTGACAGCATGATAGACGCCAGAGTGACAGCATGATAGACGTCAGAGTGACAGCATGATAGACACTAGAGTGACAGCATGATAGACACCAGAGTGACAGCATGATAGACGTCAGAGTGCCAGCATGATAGACGCCAGAGTGACAGCATGATAGACGCCAGAGTGACAACATGATAGACACCAGAGTGACAGCATGATAGACGCCGGAGTGACAGCATGATAGACGCCAGAGTGACAGCATGATAGACGCCAGAGTGACAGCATGATAGACGTCAGAGTGACAGCATGATAGACGTCAGAGTGACGGCAGGATAGACACTAGAGTGACAGCATGATAGACGCCAGAGTGACAGCATGATAGACGCCAGAGTGACAGCATGATAGACACCAGAGTGACAGCATGATAGACGCCAGAGTGACAGCATGATAGACGACAGAGTGAAAGCATGATAGACACCAGAGTGACAGCATGATAGACGTCAGAGTGACAGCATGATAGACGCCAGAGTGACAGCATGATAGACGCCAGAGTGACAACATGATAGACACCAGAGTGACAGAATGATAGACGCCGGAGTGACATCATGATAGACGCCAGAGTGACAGAATGATAGACGCCAGAGTGACAGCATGATAGACGTCAGAGTGACAGCATGATAGACGCTAGAATGACAGCATGATAGACGCTAGAGCGACAGCATGATAGACACCAGAGTGACAGCATGATAGACGCCAGAGTGACAGCATGATAGACGCCAGAGTGACAGCATGATAGACGCCAGAGTGACAGCATGATAGACACCAGAGTGACAGCATGATAAACTCCAGAGTGACAGCCTGATAGACGCCGCCAGAGTGACGACATGATAGACGCCAGAGTGACAGCATGATAGACGCAAGAGTGACGGCAGGATAGACGTCAGAGTGACAGCATGATAGACACCAGAGTGACAGCATGATAGACGTCAGAGTGACGGCATGATAGACACCAGAGTGACAGCATGATAGACGTTAGAGTGACGGCAGGATAGACACTAGAGTGACAGCATGATAGACGCTAGAGTGATAGCATGATAGGCGCCAGAGTGACAGCATGAGAGACGCCAGAGTGACAGCATGATAGACGCCAGAGTGACAGCATGATAGACGTCAGAGTGACAGCATGATAGACATTAGAGTGACAGCATGATAGACACCAGAGTGACAGCATGATAGACGTCAGAGTGACAGTATGATAGACGTCAGAGTGACAGCATGATAGACGTCAGAGTGACAGCATGATAGACGACAGAGTGACAGCATGATAGACACCAGAGTGACAGCATGATAGACGTCAGAGTGACAGCATGATAGACGCCAGAGTGACAGCATGATGGACGCCAGAGTGACAACATGATAGACACCAGAGTGACAGCATGATAGACGCCGGAATGACAGCATGATAGACGCCAGAGTGACAGCATGATAGACGCCAGAGTGACAGCATGATAGACGTCAGAGTGACAGCATGATAGACGCTAGAGTGACGGCATGATAGACGCCAGAGTAACGGCATGATAGACGCCAGATGACAGCATGATAGACGCCAGAGTGACAGCATGATAGACGCCAGAGTGACAGCATGATAGACGTCAGCAGTGAGGGGACGCATGATAGACCCAGAGTGACAGCATGATAGACACCCAGAGTGACAGCATGATGGGACGCCAGAGTGACAGCATGATAGACGCCAGAGTGACAGCATGATAGACGCCAGAGTGACAGCATGATAGACGCCAGAGTGACAGCATGATAGACGCCAGAGTGACAGCATGTTAGACAACAGAGTGACAGCATGTTAGACACCAGAGTGGCAGCATGATAGACGCCAGAGTGACAGCATGATAGACTCCAGAGTGGCGGAATAATAGATGCCATAGTGACAGTATGATAGATGCCAGAGTGACAGCATGATAAACGTCAGAGTGATAACATGATAGACATCAGAGTGTGAGCATGATAAATGCCATGATAGATAGCATGATAGGCAGCACACTGATAGTATGATGGCATGATAGACACCACAGGGGCAGCATGATGACATGATAAACACCAGAGTGACAGCATGATGACATGATAGAAACCACAGTGACAGCATGATGACATGACGAGACACCACAGTGACAGCATGATGACATGACAGACACCACAGTGACAGCATGATGACATGATAGACACCACAATGACTGCATGATGATATGATAGACACCACAGTGACAGCATGATGACATGATAGACACCACAGTGACAGCATGATGACATGATAGACACCACAGTGACAGCATGATGACATGATAGACAACCACAGTGGATCAGCATATGACATGACAGTCACCACAGTGACAGCATGATGACATGATAGACACCACAATGACTGCAT